ATGCCGTCACGCGTAACATTTTAGGAGCGCGCTATTTTTCAAAATGATGTAGAATCATTATTTTTTCATCAATTTTGATGAGACAGGTATGAATCACTTCCTGGGACAATGATCTTTATTATGACGTCATTAGTTTTAAGGTAACAATGGAATGTGACGCTGATTTTTCAACTTCAAACAAAATCCAAAGGCCGTCACGCTGGGTATTTTGACGACCCCTAGATAAGCAAAATGCCATTTATTTTGGAATTAATTACTTTTAAAGGCTGAAATTAAAATAAGAAACAAGGTTTTAGCTAAAATTAATAAATCTGAAGAATAAATATTAAATTTCCTTCAAATTTCTTAAATATCAAATGATATGTAGGGTACGAAAAATGTCCCATTTAGTATTTTTAAATAAAAATAAAAATACCTGGGTGTTAATCCAATTACAGTTGTATAACATGGGTCTATAACAACGATATACAGTGGAGAGTGGTATATCGTCATCGTATACAACTACGCTCACTTGTGAATATATCATATACTCACTCGAGTATAAACACGATATACAGAATGAACCATTATATAACCTCATAATATGTAATGTACAAGTACTATATTGTTTCTATCTCAATCTCGCTTCAGTCCAATAACGTTACACTGTCTCTTTAGTTGTAATTGATAAACATCTTATAATAAAAATAATAATGCCACAACATGTAATTGTATTGAAGGTCTGCCAACCGATCCATGTTTGACGCTTGTCCCCTGTGATTCTAATGCTGAATGTTATTCCACTGGAGGATCTGATTATACATGTACTTGCCAACCGGGATTTGAAGGGGACGGCGTTACATGTAAGTATTCCCTGTCATTAGAGTTGTCATTTATAAGAATGAAGAATTATGGGACATTGTCCGGCTTGACCGTTAGTCCATTTTGTCCAAACTTGTCCGCTGTTGTCCCGCTGACATAATCGGACAATGTCCGTCGTCGTCCCATTTTGTCCGATGATGTCTGGATTACAGCGTTTATTTGTCTGGTAATGTCCCTTGAAAAGAACAAACATGTTATTTTTGAATGGGGCATTAAGGGACAAAATCGGACGACAGACAATTATTCTTTACGTGTTGGGAAAATACTGACCATCGATGTGTTTATTCAACTGTGATAAAAAAACTGCACAATTCAAACACATTTTAACACTTATACGTAAGTGATATTATTAATTATAAGACATTCAAATCGAAATGTTGACGATGAACGTTCATGACTCCCAGCTTAATAAATGCCGTAAATTAAAAACAATCTTGGTGGCCGTGTGACGATTTTCCTATAAATTAAGAACGAGTTGCTTTTAAAGCAAGCGTATTCTAGTGAAGCGGGTAAATTGAGGCGCTTTTTCCATAACGTCACACCCATCTTTCAGACGATGAAGTGAAATAGTTTGATGGCTAACATTCAATGTTTTTATCGCACCCTAAGGTGCTATATTGTAATCAGTTTGCCGGGCGGGCGGACGGGCGGGCCGGCGGTTGGGCGGGCGGGCGTCACGAATAATCTTGTCTACAGGTTTCCAGCCAAACTGTTGAAATTCTCAGGGATGTTTCTACCTATGAAAGTTTAGAACTGATTAGTTTTTCTGCATTCTGGGTAAATGTTAAGGCGGCCATTTTGGATTTTCCGTCCTAAAATCTTGTCTGTCAAGGCTTGTCTACAGGTTTCCAGCCAAACCGTTTGAGGGATTCATTTGAAATTCTCAGGGATGTTTCTACCAATAAAAGTTTAGAACTAATTAGTTCAACAATAATCTTTTTGCTAATATTTGCTTTTTAGCCTATATACTGAATTAGGGTAGTTGCATTTTTTCCAATGATATGAGACAATTGTTCATATGGCATTATTCCATTATTAATACAGATGTCTTTTAAAAAGTTAATGCCCTTTTTAATCCAATTTTTAAAACAAACTGCTTTTCCACTTATTTTGATTATATTATTGTTCCAAAGAATTGAATTATTAATGTTAGCTGGAGCTTTGTACTTCTGCCAGCATCCTAGCATTTTGACATAAAATTCTGGCAGTTCAGAATTGTTAATGTCACCGCTACAATTAAAAATAGTTAAATTACATGCATAGCAGTTACAATAATATGTAGGCAGACACCGCCAGTGTCCATTTCCCGGTACAAAAATCAATTTTATCCACTTAAAAATGAAAGCAATCTCAGATCAAACATATTTAAAAAGATCGGGTCTCCTAAAAACACAATTAGAGTAACCCCCTGATATTGTAGTGTTATTTGTTGTAAAGCGATTTTTTTATCAACTTATCAATTCTGAGCCTTGCTCCTAGCCCTGAATTTCCACTTACATCAATAGAAATTCAAATTAAATTTAAAAAGCCCGCTCAAATTTGTTCCAGTCTGATTGGCTTTTTCCTTCAGATTATTTTGGCTTAGAGAAGCCATATTTATTACTTCTAAGGGGTTACAATATAGCTAAATCCCCAAAAAACATTGTATTCTGTTTTCGACGTATTGCGTTCAATTCTGACAGTTGGTTGTTGGTTGTCCTGTTGCATGATATCCTCAACTCATAATTTGAGAAATTATTGGCATACGTAAAACCTATTTAAAACAGCATTTATCGTATTCAAAAGCGTTGAGCATCAATGATTCCCAGCCCTCTGAAGTTTGGAAAATAAAAATACCTGGGTGTTAATCCAATTACAGTTGTATAACATGGGTCTTTAACAACGATATACAGTGGAGAGTGGTATATCGTCATCGTATACAACTACGCTCACTTGTGAATATATCATATACTCACTCGATATAAACACGATATACAGAATGAACCATTATATAACCTCATAATATGTAATGTACAAGTACTATATTGTTTCTATCTCAATCTCGCTTCAGTCCAATAACGTTACACTGTCTCTTTAGTTGTAATTGATAAACATCTTAAAATAAAAATAATAATGCCACAACATGTAATTGTATTGAAGGTCTGCCAACCGATCCATGTTTGACGCTTGTCCCCTGTGATTCTAATGCTGAATGTTATTCCACTGGATGATCTGATTATACATGTACTTGCCAACCGGGATTTGAAGGGGACGGCGTTACATGTAAGTATTATCCCTGTCATTAGAGTTGTCATTTATAAGAATGGAGAATTATGGGACATTGTCCGGCTTGACCGTTAGTCCATTTTGTCCAAACTTGTCCGCTGTTGTCCCGCTGACATAATCGGACAATGTCCGTCGTCGTCCCATTTTGTCCGATGATGTCTGGATTACAGCGTTTATTTGTCTGGTAATGTCCCTTGAAAAGAACAAACATGTTATTTTTGAATGGGGCATTAAGGGACAAAATCGGACAACGACAGACAATTATTCTTTACGTGTTGGGAAAATACTGACCATCGATGTGTTTATTCAACTGTGATAAAAAAAACTGCACAATTCAAACACATTTTAACACTTATACGTAAGTGATATTATTAATTATAAGACATTCAAATCGAAATGTTGACGATGAACGTTCAGTTTTCTGTCGTATTGAATATTAGACATCCGTTTCAATTAATTGTTATGGATTAACGATAGCAGCATCATCATGATACGTGCAAGTTGACAAATTTGACGAAAGAAATCCAGCACAAGATGTGAAATAATGTTCCATGTTTGTTTAATATTCAGAATAAATCCTACTCTAATAGTAAAAAGTTACATAATGATTGTGAATGCAAACCGTGCACCTGAAAGCGTAAGTTCAAGTACGCGTTTAAGAAAATTTACATTGACAATTGTCTTATGACAAAACAAAGATGCTCTGTCAAATTATAGTTCAGGTTATTTTGATCCATGTGGTTCTCCCTTTTACAAATGCAAGTAAAATTATGATTCTGCCTCGGTCTCACATTTATAATGTTATATTATCTATGTCGTAATAGGTAATCGTCTAGTGACACAAAATGACACAGAATCAAATTATATATTTCAGGTACGGAAGCCGTAGTGGATCCATGCGCAGATCCTGCGCTGAACAACTGTGACGCTAATGCAGAATGTACCCCTGGTTCAGACGACCGTGTTAACTGTACTTGCAAACCGGGATTTCTAGGAAACGGGACATCATGTAAAGTATTACCTATCAGAATCAAACATGTAATGAAAAACAATTCGTAGACGGCTGTCACGTCAATAAAGGACGAGGGGTAGCAAAGGCCGTAGTTTACACTGGGCTATTCAACTTTAAACTTTGATTTCGTTTGTACTGATCACTATTCAACTATTGATGCATCTTTTATGCCACACTGGTTTTTAATAGCTTGCCAAGTGTCGATTTTTAAAAACAATATGTACTCTTGTTCTGTTACAAATGTAATGTAACATGCACAAGTACAAAATCGTTTCTATCTCACTCTCACATCAATAATTTTACATTGTCATTTACATTGATAATTGTCTTATGACAAAACAAAGATGCTATGTCAAATTATATTTCAGGTTATCCAGATCCATGTAATTCTCCCTTTAACATCTGTAATTATAATGCAAACTGTACCCCTGTGAGTGAAACTGAGGTTAACTGTGTTTGCAAATCTGGATTTCTAGGAAACGGGACATCATGTAAAGTATTACCTCTAACGTTATCAATATGTAATGTAACATGCACAAGTACAAAATCGTTTCTATCTAACTCTCACATTAATAATTTTACATTGTCATTTACATTGATAATTGTCATATAACAAAAACAAAGATGCTATGTCAAGTCATATTAACTGTGTTTGCAAATCTGGATATGTAGGGAACGGGACATCATGTAAAGTATTACCTCTATCGTTATCAATACATGTAATGTTTCAAGAATGTAATACAGTGCAAGTAAAATGTTGATTCTGCCTCGATCTCACAATGTATAATGTTACATTATCTCTGTCGTAAATGGTAATCGTCTAGTGACACAAAATGACACAGAATCAAATTATATATTTCAGGTACGGAAGCCGTAGTGGATCCATGCGCAGATCCTGCGCTGAACAACTGTGACGCTAATGCAGAATGTACCCCTGGTTCAGACGACCGTGTTAACTGTACTTGCAAATCAGGATTTCTAGGAAACGGGACATCATGTAAAGTATTACCTATCCGTATCAAACATTTAATGATAACAATTCGTAGACGGCTGTCACGTCATTAAAAGACAAGGGATATAATAGCCGAGGCCGTAGCTTACACTTGGCTATTCAACGTTAAACTTTGATTTCGTTTGTTCTCTCTATTCAACTATTGATGCATCTTCTATACCACACTGGTTTTTAAAAGCTTGCCAAGTGTCGATTTTCAAAAACAATGAACTCTTGTTTTTTTTACATATGTAATGTAACATGCACAGGTACAAAATTGTTCCTATCTCACTCTCACATCAATTATTTTACATTGTCATTTACATTGATAATTGTCTTATTACAAAACAAAGATGCTATGTCAAATTATATTTCAGGTTATCCAGATCCATGTAATTCTCCCTTTAACATCTGTAATTATAATGCAAACTGTACCCCTGTGAGTGAAACTGAGGTTAACTGTGTTTGCAAATCTGGATTTCTAGGAAACGGGACATCATGTAAAGTATTACCTCTAACGTTATCAATATGTAATGTAACATGCACAAGTACAAAATCGTTTCTATCTAACTCTCACATTAATAATTTTACATTGTCATTTACATTGATAATTGTCATATAACAAAAACAAAGATGCTATGTCAAGTCATATTAACTGTGTTTGCAAATCTGGATATGTAGGGAACGGGACATCATGTAAAGTATTACCTCTATCGTTGTTAATACATGTAATGTTTCAAGAATGTAATACAGTGCAAGTAAAATGTTGATTCTGCCTCGATCTCACAATGTATAATGTTACATTATCTCTGTCGTAAATGGCAATCGTCTAGTGACACAAAATGACACAGAATCAAATTATATATTTCAGGTACGGAAGCCGTAGTGGATCCATGCACAGATCCTGCGCTGAACAACTGTGATATTAATGCAGAATGTGCGAACACAAACGGAGGTGTTAGTTGCACGTGTTTACCTGGTTACCAAGGAAACGGTACAGATTGCAAGATGGGTAAGCACTGTTTTTGTTGTTATTCAATTTTCGAACATGCAAATGGCACTGTTCTACTACTCTTAGTACTACTCTATCTAGTAATATTAACCATAGGCATTTAGTGTATTTATCCTAAGATGCATTGCTACTTATATCCTTAGGGACCTGCTACATCTCGGTCGTGATTTCTAATATACAGGGCGTTCATAAAGTTCTTGTTAAAGTACTCTAATTTTTTTGTTTCTCAATCAATCTGGCTGAAATTTTCACTCAGTATACCTACACGGATCTTGAATTACAATGAACAAGTTCCTGAAGAAAAAAGTTATAATTGCTATAGTAACACGAGTCAGGGGCAGGCGGAGCAGCATTGAAAAAAATAGATGAAAGATATGGGTTCGAGGTAATTTTAACATACTTAAAAGTATCCTGGAAAATACAAAACAAGCTGATGTTGCCATGTCAACCCTAGATTATGTCATTTGATGACATCATGGTTGAAATTTCTTTGATTCATGATATCATTCATATATTTTTGTGGATGTGACAATTGTTCAATTTAAAAAGTGCTACAAGGCAGCATCTAATTGTTTTCAGCATTAGCCTATGGAGCTTGAGTAACGCCAACTTTCTACCATATTCAGACAATAGATCATAATTGTGAAAGTAGGGCTTAATATTGATAATCAATTCTAGGTTTTAAAGTCCACAAAAGACCGTAATTCCCATTGGAATTCCAATTACAGATTTTAAAGTCCGGGACTTTCATACCAAGTATTTTAAAACCAGGAAACAGTCAAAACTTTCACACCGACAGTAGTATCATAGTTAATTGAATTATGTACCCCTCATGGAATAAGAAACCTGAACACTTAACGCCTACCCTTTAATTTTGTCTTTGAAATAAGCTTAAGGTAAGGAATTACATGCATTGTCGAACTCATTGGTTTGGTAAGCGCTCCTGAAACTATGATCTTGAAATGCTCACGGTATGATTTCTATTTTTTAGCTCCGTGCAACGAGGGCGTTGCTATCCCCTGGAACGGAGGATTCCAGTGTTTGTGTCCTCCAAACAAGAAAGGGCTGAACTGCAGCGAAGGTAAGATTTTGATTGCCGTTTTCTCCCTTATGAGAGCCTTTTTACGTGTGTTCGGCCATTTTTAGGGCCAAAGTTGTCAAAGATTTTTGAAACTGTGCAACCCCTCCACACTTGGAAAATCCGGTCTATGGGCCTGAGATAGACCTTTCTAATAAACTCTGTCGCACCTTGTGATATTCCAAAAGACGCTAGAATGTAATGACTAGATTTTATGATGTCATAGGTTATAGGTTATAACATCTGACATCATCATATGACATCTTCAACCCAGCCAACATATCATAATTGCTTCGATGTACCAAAATGAGCAGGATTTTACAATATATACAAGAGCTGCTTAATTTAAGTCATTACCTAAATGCGACATTCCATTCTTTTTAGCTTGACAATTCAATTACACAAATATTTTATTTTTCAGACGTACCTGATTCCAACACCAACTGCTCATGGCCTTCAAATGGTAAGAGCATTGTACAGTTTTGAAAAAGAAAAAGTCAAAATCGTAGTTTCATTTTCTTGATTAACAACTCTGTAAAATAAAGTCACTTATATTATATTGTATACAATACAATACATCATCGGATTGTAGAAAATGATGTTAACTTTGCATGAACATGGCACATCAATAGTTTGCATATTAGACATTCGAACATGACTGTATTCACGGCTTCTATAAACTGTAAACAAAGTCAACATTTCACCCGGGTTATATTTGCGAACATTGCCCGTGGTAATACGTTTAATGTGTTATGTCATAACAGCGGGCCGTAGTAATGGCGGATATATAATGAATACTTGAAACATTTTGTTGAGTTTTCATGTGCGAATCGTAATATAGACTTCAGAGTAGGTGTAATATCGTCGACTATAACCCTTAGGGCTAGGCACAAACTTTTTCAGTGCCCTGAACGACCGAAGGAGGGAAGCCCTTACTTAGCCCTTAGTGGGAAGCCCTTAGGCCCCTAATATTATCCCTGCTCTTCGGTCTATATTTCTTAAGTTGAGAGCCTGCACAATGCAGCCGAAGGTGTCAAATTTATAGATTGTATCCCTATTGACGTTAGTAGATGCTTCATAAACCTGTAAACTGTGGGTGGTGAATGGCTTATAGAGACACATCCTAGCTAGGTAGATCATTGACTACTATTCGAACATAACTGTACGCCTTCTATATAAACTGTGAACAAAGTCAATATTTAACCCGGGGTATATTCACGAACAATACCCTTCGTTATACGAATAACATGTGACGTCATAACGGCGGCCCGTATCGTAATAGCGAACTTTTCATGTTCCAATCGCAATATAAACCTCAGAACATGGGCAATATCGTCGAATACACCTCTTAGGGCTAGGCACAACAGCATTCGAACCCATCACTTCCTACGATCGCTCGGGGTAAAGAAAGCGTTTGTGCTTAGCCATGTGGGATGTATTTAACAATATTACCTCTGCTCTTCGGTCTAAATTTCTTAATTATGAATTTTGCAAGTGATTTTAGTTGTTGTTTTTTCATGTAGAAGACGCATGCAGCTCGAGCCCATGCCATGGCAAGAAGGCCGTATGTATTAACACATTCGGGGGAAATTTCAAATGTCTTTGCGAGCCGGGAAAGGAAGGAGATCGGTGTGACCAAGGTACGATCCACTTTTGATAATTGCGTCTGTATCTTCTTGACAGGTATGGAAACCTGTTTCTTTAAATTTGGATGATTTGTAAAACATTATCTTGTGAAACAGAATCAACTATTATACCACTGACATATTCCTTACTCTCTGATTGGTCCATGTCCTTTACGTGACAAAAAATAAGAGGCAATATCCAACGAAAGCCACGTGACACTGTTATGATTAATTAGACATCAATATTTTGCTATTCCATTAATGTGAGTGAGGAATATAACTTTGAATAATAAAACAAATATTTGATTGCATTCATTTTATTAAAGTCAACCGAACTATTCGCACATTTTGATTCATATACAGTACGTGTGTGTATAAACCATAATAAATATATTCATATAGCTGACACAAGTCATGATTTTAATCTTGATCTACTGTGTTCGAAATAAATTTCTTTGAAATTCCAAGGAGCATAATTAAGTACCACAAATTATTAACAAATTAATTTTTAAAAAATATTATTAGGAGGCCCTTCAAGGGGCCTCCTATCATTTTTGTAGTTATTCTTCTTTATTTATTTATTTATTAGACTCCAGATGAAATCTGGAGTCTATTGTTTTCGTCAGTTTTCTTATTATTAGACTCCAGATTGAAAATCTGGAGTCTATTGTTCTCGTCAGTTTTCTTATTCTTCTTCTTCTTCTTCTTATTAGACTCCAGATTGAAAATCTGGAGTCTATTGTTCTCGTCAGTTTTCTTATTCTTCTTCTTCTTCTTCTTCTTATTATTAGACTCCAGATGAAATCTGGAGTCTATTGTTTTCGTCAGTTTTCTTATTCTTATTATTCTTCTTATTATTCTTATTCTAACCCAGTTTTCTCAATAACCATAAGGTTTTCAGTAAAGTCAGTCATTTGGTCAATTTAGGTTCAGAATCTAGTTCCTCGGAAATTGGGTCAAATTTTTATCTAGGTCAAAGGTCAAGAACTAGGTCAAATCCAGTACTTTGTCACTTTTTTCGATTTTCTCGGTCGTCCTTCAATATTTTTGATCCAGGTTTTTTTCATTGTGTTCCTTATAAAAAAGTAGGAATCCTAGGGTCGATTTAGTTTTTTGATATCTCAAACCGATTTCGAGATATCAGTGTCCCAAAACGAGGTCCAAAAAAAAGTTCTCCGAATCAAATGTCTAGGATATTAGTCTTATCGGAAATTTTCACAGGATTCCGAATCTGAAAACCAAATTCGAATCAGACTTCCGGTTTGGAAGTTATGGGGTTTTGAAAGCTCAAAAATCGCTAAATTTGGTGCCAATGTTAAGTCAATGGGAAAAAAGATTTTTTTGAAGTGAAAAATACGAAATATAGACTGAGTTCAGCTAAATATAATGAAAGCTTTTAAAAGAATGGGACCTCAAAAGCAATCTAGCTTTAAAATTTGGACATCAAAATGCCTAGGTCAAAATCTAGGTCAAATTCAAAGTTTTTTCTTATTTTTGCGATTCTGACACTACAGATTAATTATATTCTTCGAAATTTTGTATACATGTAGCCAAGAGTGTGCTAATAGTGTTAGCCTTTTGCCGTCAGAAAGTATTTTGCCCCACTTTTGAGATATGGTGTCCGAAAAGTAGGTCAAAATAAAAAATTCTCCAAATTTTACGTTTGAGTTATGAATGAAGTACAGAATTATCTCAGGAATCCGAATCTGCAAACCAAATTTCGATCCGACTTCTGGTTCGGAAGTTATGACATTTTGAAAGCTCTAAAATCGCTAAATTTGGTGCCCCATGTTATGTCAATGGGAAAAAAGATTTTTTTGAAGTGTAAAATACAAGATATAGACTAATTACAGCTTAAAATAACGAAAGCCTATGAAAGAAGGGAACCTCGAAGGCTACCTTATTTCAAAATTTGGACACCAAAATCCCTAGGTCAAAATCTAGGTCAAATCATAGTTTATCCTTATTTTTGCGATTCTGACACTACACTTTAATTATATTCCTCGAAATTGTGTATACATGTAGCCAAGAGTGTGCTAATAGCGTAAACCTTTTGCCGTCAAAAAGTATTTTGACCCACTTTTGAGATATGGTGTCCGAAAAGTAGGTCAAAATAAAAAGTTCTCCAAATTTAACGTTTGAGTTATGAATTAAGAATAGAATTTTCTCAGAAAACCAAATCTGTTAACCAAATTTCGATTTGACTTCCGGTTCCGAAGTTATGGCGTGTCCGAAAAGTAGGGCAAAATAAAAATTCGCCAAATTTAACGTATGAGTTATGAATTAGGGGTTGAATTTTGTCAGGAATCCGAACCTGTAAATCAAATTTCGATCCGACTTCCGGTTCGGAAGTTATTGCGTTTTGAAATTTCAAGAAAAATTGATCTGATGGTATCCTGATAGAAAGTCAAGAGTAGAGAAGAAAATATTGAAAAATGCATAAATCCTTTCTTTCTGATCCTATCCTATCCTTCCTATCTACCCTTGCTTCGTATCCTCTCCTTCCTATCCTTCCTATTCTATCCCTTCTTCCTATTCTGTTCTATCCTTCTTTCCTATTCTATCCTATCGTTCCTTCCTATTCTATCGTATCCTTCCTTCCTTTTTCATCCATCCATCTTTTTCTTGATTACTTAGCTTATTTTGGATGACTTGGCTTATTCTGGATGACTCGGCTAAAAAAAGTCTAGATCTGGAGTCTGAAATTGAACTCGTTCAATTTCCAAAATCTAGTTCTTCTTCTTCTTCTTCTTATTATTCTAAACCAGTTTTCTCAATAACCATAAAATGTTCAGTAAAGTCAGTCATTTGGTCAATTTAGGTCCAGAATCTAGTTCCTCGGAAATTGGGTCAAATTGTTATCTAGGTCAAAGGTCAAGAACTAGGTCAAATTCAGTACTTTGTCACTTTTTTCGATTTTCTCGGTCGTCCTTCAATATTTTTGATCCGGGTTTTTTTCATTGTGTTCCTTATAAAAAAGGAGGAAACCTAGGGTCGATTTAGTTTTTTGATATCTCAAACCGATTTCGAGATATCAGTGTCCGAAAACGAGGTCCAAAACAAAGTTCTCCGAATCAAATGTTAAGGATATCAGTCTTATAGGAAATTTTCTCAGGATTCCGAATCTAAAAACGAAATTTGGATCTGACTTCCAGTTCGGAAGTTATGGCGTTTTGAAAACTCAAAAATCGCTAAATTTGGTGCCCATGTTAAGTCAATGGGAAAAAATATTTTTTTGAAGTGAAAAATACGGAATATAGACTGAGTTCAGCTTCATATAATCAAAGCCTTTAAAAGAAGGGGACCTCAAAAGCCATCTAGCTTCACAATTTGGACACCGAAATGCCTAGGTCAAAATCTAGGTCAAATTCATAGGTTTTCCTTATTTTTTCGATTCTGACACTACACTTTAATTATATTCTTCGAAATTCTGTATACATGTAGCCAAGAATATGCTAATAGTGTTAGCCTTTTGCCGTCAGAAAGTATTTTGACCCACTTTTGAGATATGGTGTCCGAAAAGTAGGTCGAAATAAAAAGTTCTCCAAATTGAATATATGAGTTATGAATTAAGGGTAGAATTCTGTCAGGATTCTGAATCTGCAAACCAAATTTCAATCCGACTTCCGGTTCGGAAGTTATGGCGTGTCCGAAAAGTAGGTCAAAATAAAAAATCTCCAAATTTAACGTATGAGTTATGAATTAGGGGTAGAATTTTGTCAGGAATCCGAATCTGCAAACCAAATTTCGATCCGACTTCCGGTTCGGAAGTGATAGCGTTTTGAAATTTCGAGAAAAATCGATCTGATGGTATCCTGATAGAAAGTCAAGAGTAGAGAAGAAAATATTGAAAAATTCATCCATCCTTCCTATCTCATCCTACCCTATCCTTCCTATCTATCCTTCCTTCATATCTTTCCTTCCTATCCTATCCTATCCTTTCTTCCTATTCTATTCTATCCTATCCTTCTTTCTTATTCTATCCTATCGTTCTTTCCTATTCTATCCTATCCTACCTTCCTATTTTATTTATCCATCTCTTTCTAGATGACTCAGCTTATTCTGGATGACTCGGCTTATTCTGGATGACTGGGCTAAAAAAAGTCTAGATCTGGAGTCTGAAATTGAACTTCGTTCAATTTCCAAAATCTAGTTATTATTCTAAACCAGTTTTCTCAATAACCATAAAATGTTCAGTAAAGTCAGTCATTTGGTCAATTTAGGCCCAGAATCTAGTTCCTCGGAAATTGCGTCAAATTTTTATCTAGGTCAAAGGTCAAGAACTAGGTCAAATCCAGTACTTTGTCACTTTTTTCGATTTTCTCGGTCGTCCTTTAATATTTTCGATCCGGGTTTTTTTCATTGTGTTCCTTATAAAAAAGTAGAAAACCTAGGGTCGATTTAGTTTTTTGATATCTCAAACCGATTTCGAGATATCAGTGTCCGAAAACGAGGTCCTAAAAAAAATTCTCCGAATAAAATGTCCAGGATATTAGTCTTATAGGAAATTTTCTCAGGATTCCGAATCTGAAAACCAAATTCGAATCAGACTTCCAGTTAGGAAGTTATGGCGTTTTGAAAGCTCAAAAATCGCTAAATTTGGTGCCTATGTTAAGTCAATGGGAAAAAATATTTTTTTGAAGTGAAAAATACGGAATATAGACTGAGTTCAGCTTCATATAATCAAAGCCTTTAAAAGAAGGGGACCTCAAAAGCCATCTAGCTTCACAATTTGGACACCGAAATGCCTAGGTCAAAATCTAGGTCAAATTCATAGGTTTTCCTTATTTTTTCGATTCTGACACTACACTTTGATTATATTCTTCGAAATTCTGTATACATGTAGCCAAGAATATGCTAATAGTGTTAGCCTTTTGCCGTCAGAAAGTATTTTGACCCACTTTTGAGATATGGTGTCCGAAAAGTAGGTCAAAATAAAAAGTTCTCCAAATTGAATATATGAGTTATGAATTAAGGGTAGAATTCTGTCAGGAATCTGAATCTGCAAACCAAAT